TTTTTTTTTTTTTTTTTACACAACAACTAGCCCAGAGTGAGCTCCCACCATCTCCCTCCTGTTTAAACTTTCAGTTCCTGATTCACAGAGTGCTCCACACATGGTAAAGCAATTAATTAATCATTTTTAGAGTCTAATTTTAATCATAACATGTTATATGTCAGCAGCTCGTCTCACGAGGTGACTGGGGTAAAGGGTTTACAGGGGAAAATCCCCCCTAAGAACAAAATATACATATATTATTCCCATGACCTTGAGCAGTTTAAAGTGGGAGCCCTGGTAACCACCGTTTTAAAGTTTGCCAACCGAGTTAAGCTGTGTACAGTTATGAGGTTAACATTTGTGAATCCTGTTTTAGAGTGAATTTTACCAAGGCTGCCCTGATAAATAGTACTTTCAATAAAATTCTGCGTTAAACATCTGTTGCCCAAAGGAAGACTGAATATTTATCTGTGTATCAAGTATCCACCCCACCACTGTCAGCCAACCCTTGGGAGTATGAAAAATTCCATTTATCATTCCCAATTAATCCCAGGAACAAAGGATTATTAAGAGAAATGAGGTGGAAGAGAATTTCAATTTACGAATCTCAAACAGCGTATCAAGCATCACCGCAGTCCAACAAACTTGGATGATGTGAGGAGTTCCTATTTTTCATTAATGGCCCATGACATAATGTCATCTTCGCATACAAAGAAACAAAATAATCAGCTGCAGGATGGATGCATTATTATGTAACAAGGATATAGTGGAACTGGAGTTGTGGGATGAAGGAAACCACTGCTGTAAGATTCTCTGCAGTGTTGAGCTGTAGTGTATCAAGATCCTCTGACTGCAGGAAGGCTTACTGTTTCACCATGATTAAAACCACAAGGGCTAAAAGCCTCTGCCCTTTTCTTTTTGTGATTGCTCACGGAAACAATTTGTAACTTTTCATTTCATCTACTCCTGTAACACTGCAGCAACATCCAGAGAAGATACTTTTCATTGGCTTGCAAGCTCTATTCCAATGTGGAGTAGGAGTGGGGGGTGCTGAGGGTTGAATCTTAACAAAGTACAGTACTAGCACCTAGTTACCAATGTCTTGTTTTCACTTCACAGGAGAAATATTTGGATTAGAAAGAGCTCCAGTCTGACTCAGTACATGTTTCTAACTAACTAAAGCAGACCAACAATGAAATGCCATATACAAATACAGTATGCCTAACACTAAACAATTCAACACACACAGTTTCAGGCCAGATGTGCTGTCCACTTAACATTTCATAGCAGCCAACACTGTGTGTGAGCCATTCATTCTAATATCCAGGATAACTTTCCTTTCAGTTGTTCACAAACATCCGTGTGGTAGACAGAATGACAAAGATGCAGACAGCATGACTGAAAAAGTAAAAGACTACAAGACAAAAAAAGTGCTAAACTTAACAGAAAGAGAAACACACATCTAGCCAGTCCACAAAACGGCTTCACGGACAGAAAAACAAAACGTTAGACAGCAAGACAGAGGAGCTTTTAGAGACAGACAGCTGGCGGACAGGAGGTCATGCACACTGATAGCCAGTACACTCCGATGAGTGGAGTGTTGTTGAAAAATGTGTGCAAGGTGACTGTTTACTGACTCCTAATGAGAGAAGATACTGCTGAGATGTGGGTAAGCAAAGATTCTGCAGTATGGAAAAGCCAATAGCAAGCACAGCATGAAACAAGGAACAAAGGGAAAAGGCAGCGTGACCTCTCAGCTGTGAGCTTCCTAAGCCAGCAAGGAAAGAAGCCTAATGGCCGTTTTTAGACTCTGAAATGTCAAAGGAGCATTTTTCCTATCAAAATGCTTGACAGGTTGGAACGTCATACACATGCGGTGTTATTTACTGCTACAGGATGATCTCACCCAAAACAGGGAATTATTGCTCCTGATGGAAACATGTTCCCCAGGGAGTTAGAAAAGAAAAAAAGCCAAACAGCCATTTGGTTATTCCCCTGATTTGTCACTGCAATGCAATGCTTTGGCAGACAATGTTTCAACCACTAAAGTGTTTAGAGGACCTGGAGCCTAAACACTGTAAGAGTCAAACAGTAGAGACTGGGAAGACCTCTTCATGTTTTTATTTACTCAGCTTCTTAACTGTGTAACTAATTCAGTTAAATGCAAAGCCTTTCCATTGGATCACAATTAAATATCTATAGGAGAACAGGAGAGAGAAGGGGGGGTGGGCTATTAGGTTTATAAATAACCATATGAGTATTAAATGAAAACCATTTCGGCAGTCAGTAAGGCTCTGCTTTATGTCATGGACAGCTACTAAACAGACTGCTCGAAAAGCAGTGTAAGAATACCTGTGCACTGTACAGTATGTGGGTATGCATGTGTGTGTCTGTGCGCTTGATGTTCCAAGTAGGTGTTTTTGATCACCATACTATATCCCTGAGGTACACACTGATGAAAATATCACTACAACAGCCTTTTGCACTGCAAATGTCCGGTACACGTGATGAATTGTCAGTGACTAATTTTCTCCTTGACCTGTCCTACTATAATTAACAATTAGCTAGAAGCTTACACTGTAGATACTCCACACAGCGTGTTCTTGACAGTAAAACAAGCATCTTTGACAAGTTCCAGAACAGTATCTACTCTCTCCTCCTCTTTGGTTCCTCCAATTTGTCCATCTCTGTCCAAAGAGTTCAGAGTTTCCCTCTTGAAGACAGCTTAGATTTGGAAAATTGGAAAGCATCTAAGGAAGGACCACATCAATGCTAAAGGACAGCACGTGAGTGTCAAGTGTGAGTATGTGGCAAACGCAGGTGTGTACATGTATAAACTGTCTCTATATGCATATGCATGAATGTATGCATGTGTGTCTTGATTTGTGCCCTGAAAGTGGAAAACCAGCACAGACAAAGGCTCCTCACAGCCAAGACACTCATCTATTCTAGGTATCTTCAGTCCATGGAGCCACAGTAATACTACCAGAGGAGGACATTCCTGGACGTACGGTGTCCTCTGAGAAACAGGTTCACGCAGTTGTCAGCTCGCTGTAGTATGCTATGTAACGTGGTTTTATAGAAACAAGGTTAAACACAGTAAACTGCTGTTATGTCCTTGGACACAGAAACAGTTTCCGTTGACAAATGTCGACAAGAAGTCATTACAGTTCTCATTTGTATATTAATCTTTATGCAAAACACATGGAGTCAAGATCTGAACCTGGGCCCGATCCTGTTGTTTTAGGTGTAGAAACCTCACTGTTGCAGAAATGTAATAAATGTTCTTGTATGATGTGCAGTGTCACAGTATCTATGGCACAGCACCGGAGTGGTAAACCTACCTGTGACTGTTTTGGTTTTGACGGGGCTGCTGGCATAATCTGAGGCCTGATTAGAAGGCTGTTTGGCCAGTGGTGTGCTCCCTATCGACACCTCATCCTCTCTCCTCTTAGCCGACCTGGATTCTGGACCTGGGTTCTGAAAGAACAACAGAGCATGACTGAACACCTATGAAGCAACAGGAACCAAAATATGTTGTTTTGTTCTACATGAATGCATTTCCATTAAATTAACATTCATTCATTCTTTGAAAAGAAGAATGTTATCTGATATAAAAGTGCAAAATAAACACTGTTCTGTATTATACCAACATGTTCTGTGTTAGAAGGGTAATGATCCAGTGGTAGTTTCAAAAATGATCTACGTTAATCAGAGACACAGTGCATTGTGCAACACAAGACTGAAAGTGAGGCAGAGATGAAGGCAGCAGGGAAAGAAAGAGAAAAGAAAAATGCAGTGGAACACAACAGAGGCCTCCAAGACCAATAAGGACTAGTGACAGCTCCCTGTTTTGTTGAGCACTCTCCCATGCTCCTGGCAGGCCAAATGCACACACACACAGCACACACCCTGGCTGGCAGTGAAATGGCTGAAAGACAAAGGCGTGGAAGATCGGTTTGAAATAAGGAAACCCCAATAGCTTCAGCCAGCAGCACCACTAGGCAATGATGCAGCTGCACAAGGCTACAGGCCAACAACATACTGTAGCCTGTAGAAATACACACACACACACACACACACGCATCAGTGCAGTTGTTTTTCAAAGACTGGGTCAGGACCCAAATGCTGGTTGTTTTGAGATTAAAAATGTACCCCACCCCCACCCCAGAAAAAAAGGAAAACTATATTAGCATTGCTGACTGAGGTATGGGGCTAAATCTGTCCTGGGTTACTTCAGTTTAACATAGGGTGAATAAAACATGGGGGGCCAGTAGGTTAGCTGCATAAAGTCAAGTTTGACTTGAATATTATCGTCAGGTCAAAATACTCTTTGGTTAGAAAGTCACTTCCAAGTGCACCTAGCATACATAAACAAACACTGTATAGGATATGTGCATGCTAAAAAAGAAAACACTGAAAGACCCATTTATATAGAAAGGTCAACTAAAATACTATGTTTACAACAACATTTAGTTTGTACACTTCATGGAAAATGTGCTTGGCCACATTTTACTAGTTAACACTAAATGCAGGTATCTTACCCAGTGACCACTGTTAATTCCTGGTGGATGACATAACATGAGCTAACTCTTGCTATCACACACCCGGAGCTGAGGGGTGGGGATTATGCACAGTAGCCAAGGCAGAAGCCTGTTTGGTTCTAGTACTTTCCCCTTTTCTGTTGTCTCTTCTGCTCCATACTCTTCTCAACTTACTCCATTCCCTGGTGGGTGTCTCATTCGTCCCTCTGGGTGTCTGCTGTCCTCTGTGCTCTCTCTGCCATACCCCGATATGCAACCCCCTCTGGTGTTTGTGACTCCACTGTTTTCTGATGTATTAGCTTTTGTTCACTTTCTCCCATCAGCCTTTTTGGTGCTTTTTTCTGCTTCTCTTTCCTCTGTACTACCAAAGCCCTTCCTATCCTACTCATGTCACATAGTCCATCTCCCACTGTCCTTCCCACTAAATGGCCCTTCCATTGTCCTGTTTTCTGCTCCAAGTACCTCCTTTCTCATCATTTCCTGCCATCCCAATTCTGACCAGTCAGTGTCCTCTCCCCTGTCCTTCACTGGTTGTTCACTGGCCTTCAGCTCAAAGCCTCGTCTAGGCAGCCAGGCCTTGACAAGGCCTTGACGTGCAGCTGACGTAGGTGGTCTTACATAAACAAACACATGAGCATAGGCACACACAACCACACACTGCAGCCAGTATATATTCTTCACACTGGCTGCAGTTCAACTCATAACATGTGTTTACCCCCATACAGCAACAACCTCCAGAGCAAGGAGTGCAATTAACTCCCTCTCTCTTTGTCTCTCTCACACAGACATGCTGACAGCCTTTTCAAACTGCACGAGGCATGAAACAGACCAACTTGAAAAATAAATAAATAAATAAAAGTATATATATAACCTGTGCTAATTCCCAGGCATTCAGACTAAGCACATCTGCTGTGCGTGTGTACATGTGTTGTAGTATGTGTAGTGTGGGCACAGAGCATTCAATGTCCATAACCATCACCATGACCCCTGTCAAATAAATAGAGAAAGACTGGATGGAAGACAGGGAGCAAAGCACATGGAAAAAGGTAGCTGGGAAAGACAAGCCAAGGCAGAGGGAGGGGAGCAGAATTTACAGAACATTTGCTTCAGGCTCTGATTTGGAGCAACTGAAAATTAATGGAACAGTAGAATCTGCTACAATTACTTTACCAACACAAATTGCTAGTTAAATCTTGTTTCAATGCCAACACAAATGGCCAAGAACAGACAGATTTAGTCTGAAAACATGACGGGACCACATACCAGATGCTGTTGTCTGCTGCTCGCTCGTGGTTGGTACAACAGCCAGGTGCAGAAGACTGGGTCCACACTGACAGCTATGCCCTGAACACTGACCAGCAGGACTGCACCTGGAGGACAAACAAAAGACATAATCATTAAGCAATCTGTTGATAAATAAACCGATGTTCACACACAGCTACTTCTATAGGGTCCAGATCAAGAATTACACAAAATCAATGACTAAAGTGGAAACTATGTAAACTCATCATAACAAAAAATATATTGATGTTGTTGCTACAATTACTAATAGGTGACAAAGGAAAAACCTGTATACCTGATCCCTACAGTGAGATCCTGTGGCTCTGTTATTCCTTAGTCACTGCAAGTCAGTACAAAGTTGAGTGCTCTCTTCCAGGATGATAGTACGCTCAGTGAATGACTAAATGATGTGAATCATATGCTATGGCCTTCACATTCACCAGATCTCAACCCAGCTGAACTAAATTAGAGAATATCTTTTGGAAGAATGGTAATGGACTCAGAGAATCAGGGCCAAGGTGCACTGAAGCTGTTGATGGCCCAACAGTGAGACACCTTGCTGGTTTTTTCCTTTTATTTAATCACTCGTCTATACTTCTGCAAAGTAAGAGACACAACGACATAGATGTGGACATGTGATCTTGTAAGATCCAGCAAGATGAACCATCAGGTTCTTCCACTTCTACAGAATGTGCACTGTCCCCTAACGACCTGCTGGTGGGTATCAAGCCTGCTTGGTGGAGGGCAGTAAGGACCCCCGTTCGTTTCAATTGCACTGTTCAAAGGGGTATTACACTCAGCCAAGAATAACATTTTCTTCTGATACATTTCTGTGAAACTTGAGAGTTTCCCTGAGTTTTAGTTTTCTCTTAAATAATAATCTTTACCAACAATAAGTTGGCCCTGAGGTAATGCATTAGTATCCTATCAATAATGACTCCCAGGCCGGCTGGATTAGCGCAGAGTCTCTGGCGTGCTGTAGAATGTCGCAGCATGTGGATAAGAGGATGTTTTAGTTCTAGACGGACTTTCAGCAGTTTAGTGGACCTTTGGACACAAACCCAGTCTACAGAGTGTCTATAATTGTGAATGTATGAAATATCAATTGTTTATCACCTCAGACAAAGCCTGATTGCTTGTTGCCTTGCTTAACATTGAAGTGCTTCTAAAGCATGGACCAAGCACAATTATAAACTCTCTCTCTCCACACACTTTTGTTGCACCGACTCTGGCTCCATTATTCCCTGTGAACAAGACAAATAAAGCAGTTCTAGTTTGTTCCACTTTTACAAGGCTCAGTGATTTGTGGCCTGTGAACCTCCATGTGTGTGTGTTTTTGCTTTGCAAAGTAAATACAGTATGTATGACTGAAAGAATGAGCTATAAGAAGTTTGAGTCAGTACTGTTAAGTGTGTGTGTGTAAGGTGTGAAGTCTGTAGTGTGTGTTCATCTACAATGTTGTGCAGTGTATGCATGTCCATACAAGTGCCTGTGTGTCATTATTCGCCATGTACACTTTCATCCTCAGCCATGGTTTATTAATAGTACCGAATATTTTCTGAGGAAGTGGAAACTTTCTCATTAGATCAAGCTAAACTCAGTCACAGTTCTTCCTTTATCTTTCTTTTACTTTCCATCACTTCCTTCTGTCTCTTTACTGTGTCCCTGCATCTACCCCTTCAAACCTCGTTGCTTCCCTAACTTCAGCCTTGTAATCATTCTACATGCACCTCTGTTCCTCTCCTCTTGAAGAGAAATTATAACCTCAGCCCTGTGGCTTGAACTTCTGTACCACAGTGTGGCTGCTTAATAGGCTTTGGCTGTAGCTGTAGTGCTGGGGCCCAAATTCAAGTGGTTTCATCATATCCCTGAACAGCATGAACAGTACAGGACCTAAAACTTAGGATGGGCACAGTAGTTAGGATGTAGTGAAGACAAATTCATTCAATTGACCCTAAATTGTGGTCTATGGGATACACTGAGCATGACTAACCACATTCAGTAGAAATGAGTCATGGCACAATAAATCATATAACTTAGTAAATGGACTCTTTAATGGGAATAAAAAGATAAGATAACCAAAAAGGTTTAAAAAAAAAAATCACTGCACCCAATTTAAATGGGATGACATGACATAATTGGATTTTTATATAATGTAATAAAAAAGACAACAGAGTCAACAGATTTTCACTATGCAGTGGCAAAGCCTGGACAGAAAGCACTCATTTGTCTCAAAGTCTAGTAAGTGTGTTACTTAAATAACTAAGGAAACTGAAATAGCTGGCAGCGTCTTAGTAGCGTGTTCGAGGTCGTGCCGGCTGATGTCATCTCCCTGTGGCTGTGTGTCATGTCTGTTTGGCCTCTGCCCATGACAGCCACAACCATGTTGATCTATCACAACACCACTCAAAAAGCTCTCTTTCTGAGATTAACGGAGCAAACAATCTTTTTCCCTCCATCTCTGCTAGTGTGTCAGTGACACAGAAACAAAGTAAGTGTTGACTCGGGTTTTAAGGCTTTGAAGACCAAGGCTTTACCATCCACACTGTGTGTTCTTGTTTCATCGTGGTGTTGACATAACTGCCAGGAGTGACACTTCCTTTGAAGTGTGCCGCACCATAAAACAGCCTGGCGTGCATCGAGTGTGACCTCGGACGCAGGCTAACTGTTGTTTTTCTCTGCTCTAACAGGGTGGCATGGAGTGATGACAACAATAACAAAGGTGTTTTTCTTACTTCCTAAATGATTCTTCAAGAAAACATCAAAACTGCTCAGTGGCCTAGACTGCATAAATACTCACAGCCGCAGAATGTATACGCAGGCATGTGTGAAGACACACTTACCTTGACTCACCCACAGTGGCTTATTAATGTCAAAGGTGTTTTTATTTCTTCAGTGGCTTAAGAGTAGTGGAGTTAAAAGAAAGCACAGCACTGTTGGTGCTGTTTTATGGCTGTCTGACATCAGGCTGCATCAGGCCAAACTGAGAGAAGGCCTCTAACCCTTAAGGCCCATCTATGGTCAGTCTCTTCTTCTCTGGGTCAACAGCCCCATTATCTATCAGCCACAGATTTTCTGTCTTCATATAGTCTTTTTACATGATTACATGGTTTAGGCATTGACATTTTTAATGCAAAATCTGATTTTGTTTAGTTGCTGCAAGCATGAAATTTAATAAAGAGGGAGTGGTCAGGTCAGTGCAAGTTCAAAATCAAGTCCCACAGTGGAAACCAAAACCCTGATTGGGGTTACAAAGGGCACAACCTCTCAACTACAGGGCCATGACCCCACCAGAGTACCAATCGGGCAAAGAAAGGCAAAGGGTATTCACCATCACTCTCACTCCCTCACCCACCAACCACACACTGCAAATAGACAGAGGGGGGAGGATTCATGTTCTAGTCAGCTAATCGCCCCCTCAGAACCGCTTCACTGTTGGATATAAGGCAGCACTGGGACCCTGCGTCCAGCTTCTCCAACAGAAAATAAATAAATATAGCCCAGCCCGTGTCAGCCAGATGACTTCTGACAGGTTTGGTTAATTTCGAAGCCAAGTAGCAAAACAAAACATTACGCCAGCTTGCGGGGCCTATGCTGCCTTTAATTGCTTTTCCGATGAGCTCATGACTCCAAGGTGTCCTGGAGTGAGCCATGCAGGCCGACAGGTGTTCTAGTAGTGCATATGTCATGTGAGTGCCTGTAACTCTGTGTGTGTGTGTGAGAGAGAGGGGGAGAGAAAGAGTGAGAGAGACAGAATTGGAGTTAAGGACACCACTATAAAGGAATCACCCATGTGTGGGTGGGTGCATGGAACAGTGTGGAGTACAGTGTATGTTATGTGTGTGTGAGTGTCATTATGAACTTAAGTATTTCTATTTGTATCCATTTGTCTATGTGCTGTAGAATAGTAAAAAGGCGTTGTTTCATGCTCTCAAACCATTCACTGCACTGCTAATCCCCTGCCATGCTGTGATCCAGTGGCCCCTGGGCAACGCTGCCACAGGAGCCCAGTGGCTCAGAGAAACAACACAGGCAAGTTTGACTGGAAACAGAGCCTGGTGTACAAAAAGCCTGCTCTCGCTTTGGGCCAATACAACTCTCTGCACCAGATCTCTCTCTGTATGTGTGTGTGATTTTAAGAGAATATAAGCATATATGTGTAAGTGTGTTTGTGTTTCTCAGTATGGCCCAACTGTGGTAGCCTCATAAAGGCTGACTACAGCTGTGGGTATACTAACAGTAAAAGATGACAAGAAAGCTGAAGAGAGATTTAGCCACTGTGGGAGTCAGAGAAAGGTAGGCAGATAATGGCAAGAGAAGCAGAGAGAGAAAAGTACACTGAATGATAGAAACACAACCTAAATTCATTATAAAACACATACACATCTATCGATCAATAGATAGGCCTGATTGGTGGAGTGCTGCACTGATAGTTGTCCTTCAGTAAGGTTCTCACATCTCTCATAGTGACCCTTGGGTTCTTGATCACCTGTCTGACCAAGGCCCTTCACCCCCTATCACTCAGTTTGGCTCGCTGACCAGATCTATGAAGACTGTTGGTGGTTCCAAATTTCTTTCATTTGACAATGATGGATGCTACTGTGCTCTTAGGCACTTTTAATGCTACAGAAATTTTCTTGCATCCTTCCCAGAAGGATACAAAATCCTTCAAGTGACTCAAATCTGACTTTTTCAAAAAAAAAAAAAATGGAACCATACGTCCACAGTTTGGGGAACTACAGCTTTGCCTACAGGCTGCCATCCATTGCAGGCATGCGTAACAGTGAGCTAGTTTGGCTAGCTCCTCTGTGTACTACACAATTCTTGTACAAGTGTGTTGTCCTGTTTAGTGGTCCACATTGTTGGTGATTCAACAAAACCCAGAAAATGTTTCCATTTATTCTTATTCAATACAAAAAAGTGGATTTGGTCTGAAATGTGATTCAGTATTTTGTACATTTGGAACACATTCTGCAATAATGTCCTAAATTGCATAAAACGGACTACACAATAAACATTAGGAAAGATGGACTTATGCACATCCCTAGTATGGACTGTAGACCAATAGTGAGGCCAGATGAGGGGTTTG